ACAGGTGCTGCTCAAATGTAGCTGTGAGCTGTTGAGCTGAGAGTTACAGCCCAAGGAGAGGGGGTCTAGGGAATGCCCTCCACCCATGGTTGGGAGGTGGAGAGAGAGAGAGAGAGAGAGAGAGAGAGAGAGAGAGAGAGAGAGAGAGATGGCTGGCTGAAAAATACACACAGGATTGTGTATAAGAAACACGTGGCAGGAGTTGCCCGAAGGCAGAGCCTATCCAGGGTGGGTAACTCTTGTGGCATTTGGAGCTCACGTGCTTCTGTGGTTTAAGTGGCAGCTGTACACTGCTTTAGAGAGGATACAACAGAAAATCCAAGCTTGCTCAGAGGCTTGGGGAAAAAAGAAAAGAAATGTGCAGCTTCAGCAAGTGCTGGTGACTGCAAAGCCATAGGCAAGCAGCTTGTTTGTGAATTTGTGCCTGTAAGTTGGGCGTCAATATGTATCACAAGTTCTAATAGGTCTTAATAACAAAAGCCTAGAGTCAGATATTGGGGTGGGGAGGGGGTGAAAGCTGAAAGATCAGAGAAGCAGAGCAGCCAGTCACTAGAACTCTTACCTCTACAAAATCCTCAGACTGAAAAGACACCGAGTTCCTGTCTCCATCTGTCTATATTCCTCTCTCCACTCAGCCATCTTACTTCCTGTCTGTCTGTGCAGATCTCCAGACCTCTATGGTTAGCTAGTGGCTAGCTCTGCCCTCTGATCTTCAAGCAAGCTTTGTTAGAGTATAAAGAAGATATCACCACACTATTTTCCATTCCTGGCACCCCATATACTGAAGGGACCAGCCTCCTGCTTTGGCAGCCATGACAGGCTAACATGTGCTTACCTGACCTTACCTCTCCTGTCCTAGTCACTAGAGGTCAGAAACTCTCTTCCGTGGCAAGGAACCAATCAAAAGTTAACTGGCGGAGCTGTGCTTTACAATATAAGTGCACAACAGTGACATGCAGAGCATAGCAACCACCCTGGGAGGGCCTATGGGCCATAACAACCAGTTGACCAATCAACACAGGACAAGTCACCCAAGCCTGGAAGAGCACCAATCCTGAGACTGTTGCATACCCCTGGACACTTCCCATACGCTACCCATTGTATTCTCCTGCCTCGTGGCTTCTCGGGGTCCTTCTCCAAGCATCTGCCACCATGAACAAATGAAGGGCCGGAGTAAATGGGGTTAGCTGGTTAAACAACAATAAAAGAATCTTTGCTTTTGCATTGAAATGAGTCTCGGTGATTTGGGGGTTTCAGAATTTGGGCACAACAATACCTGTATGTGCAGTATTCAAGAGGTAGAAGCAGGAGAATCAGGAATTCACAGTTATCCTTGGCTACATATGAAGTTACAGGCCCACCTGGGCTACACAGGACCTTTCCTCAGAAGGAAAAGGAAAATGTGGAGGTGTAGTGGTGCTTTCCTTTAATCCTAGCACTCTGGAGGCAAAAGCAGATCTTTGTGAGTTCAAGGACAGCATGCTCTACATAGTCAAATCCAGGACAGCCAGGACTATATGGAAAGACCCTGTCTCAAAAACACTGCTTCTCTCTCTCTCTCTCTCTCTCTCTCTCTCTCTCTCTCTGTGTGTGTGTGTGTGTGTGTGTGTGTGTGTGTGTGAAGATTATCTGTGGATCATCATGCCAAATGACTCTTCACTTTCTTCTCCCTTGTATTTTTTGACTTTTCCTTCAAGCAATAGCCAATTAATTTGAAGTTTTACTATCTGGTTATTTGTTTGAGTAATCTGGAACTACTCAAGAATTCATGTGTATGCACAAACATACCATGGCACACACTTGAGACCAGAGGACAACTTGAGTAAGTTGGTTCTCTTCCTCCAACGTGTGTCCTAGTGATGGAACCCACGTTGTTGGGCCTAGCAACCACCCTTGCCAACTAAACCATCGCACCAGCCTCCAAGACATTTTTAGACTTACTTATTTTTATTTTTTAAGTGGGTGGGTGTTTTGCCTGCATGGATGTCTGTACACCATGTGCATGCCTTGTGCCCACAGAGGCCAGAAGAGTGTGTCAGAGCCCCTGAAACTACTGGAGTTACAAACAATCATTAGCCATCATGTAGGAATCAAACCCAGGTATTCTGGTGGAGCAACAGCACTCTTATCCACAAAACCACCTCTCCCTTCCTCCTTCAAAAGGTTTTTTTTTTAATGCAATAGTCTACGTTAGTGAGTGTCTAATGAAATGAATCAGTTTCCTAACTTTCGTTTGTTAGTTTTTAAAGCCCAGGATCACCCTTGAATTTGTTATGTATCCAAGGATGACCAAGGATGACCTTGAACTCCTGATCCTACTTGCCTTCACTACTGAGTGTTGGATTACAGATGTGTTTTATGTAGCACTGGGCATGGAAACTAGGTCTTCATACATGCTATAAAGGCACTCCATCAACTGCCCCATTTTCAAATACATATATCTTTTTTTCTTGAGACAGGGCTTGTCCTCATAGCCCTGACTGTCCTAGAACTCACTATGAAGACCAAGCTGGTCTTGAACTCGGAGAGATCTGTCTGCCTTTGTCTGCCTCTGCCTCCTTGCCTCTTCAGGGCTGGGATTAAAGGTGTGTGCTACCAATGCCCAGCTCCATTTTCCTATCTTAAGTGAGGTTCCCACTTGCAGTGCTCAGGAAGAGTCCTGCACACCAGAAGAATTCAATGAATACTTAGTGGCTGAGTGTTCATACCCCAACACCTGCTGATTCCCAAGCAATTCTTTTTGATGGACAGGGAAGTCTGAACTATTGGATAAGTTCCAGGACAGTCAAGGCTACACAGAAAAACTCTGTCATCATTTCCTCCTTCTGGGGGTGGGAGGGGGACCTATTACCTGATTTTTTTTCATCTGTAACCAGAATCCAGAGTTTGCTAGATCCCGTCTTGCCTTAAAGAGGCCTCCAGACCCAAATATCCACATGGGGTGAATAAGGAGGGAACACTGGGAAATGTGGCCCAGAGGGCTGTTTTTACCCACATCAGGCCTGGTCAGAAGTTGTGTTGAGTTATGTAGTTTCAAGAGCCTAAAATGACTTGTATTTTGCTTAAGTGAGCTAAAGTTATCTACTGGTCACAAACCTGGCCAGAACTGCCCAGACATACACACCAGAGATGAGTTTGTCCTATGTCAAAAAACTCAGGAGCAGGGCTGGAAAGATGTCTCTGAGGTTAAGAGCATCAGTTGCTCTTCCAAAGGACCTGGGTTTGATTCCCAACACCCAAATGGTGGCTCACAATGGAACTCCAATTCCAGTGGGATCTGGCACCCTCTGCTGGCTTCAGATGGCACTGTGTGCACAGACATACGCCAAAGCAAAACAAGGGGGGGGGCGGGGGAGACAAGATCTCCTGAGTAAATTAGGAGTGTGGAGGGCAAGGGGAAGAGTGGGAGGGGATAGGAGAGAAGGAAAGGAGAGTGGGGAAAATTGTATATAACTCAATTAAAAATGTCAAATTAATTGATTGATTGATTAAATGAAAAGCAAATAAAAGGTTTTTTTAAAGCTCAGGAGCTGGTTGAGTGTTTTCCTAGGATGCACAAAGCACCAGGTTGGATTGTGGTGGTGCACACACTCAGGAGGTAGCAGTGGAGTGAAGAGTTTCAGGCCCAGGTAACTGTGAGTTCTAGAACAGCCTGAGCTACTAGGTCTCAAAAAGCAAATGATGAGGGTAGAGGGTAGGAGTGGGGAAGGGGTGGGAGGTTGGCTGAGTAAATAATAATCCCCAGGGTCCCCATACATGTGGGATGGGGTTGGTGGCCAGAAGGCTAAGTAGCGATTTCCGGAGCTAGCTGGATGGCCAAATCAGCCCCATCTGCAATCCATCTGCAATCCATCGAGTAAGATGGAGGGTAATAGAGGAAGACAAGACCCTCAACATCAACCTCGGGTCTCTGCACAAATGCACACATGCCTGAACACAAGTGCACCCACATTAACATAAACAGGCACGCACACTAAGGAAACAAAACGATGGGCCTGGGGAGGGAGGTCAGTCGGTAAGGCTTCCAGTACAGGGGGAGGACACGAGTTGAGAGCCTGCATCCCCAGCCTTACAGGGGAAGAGACAGATGAAACCCTGAAGCTGATGGGTAACCTGCTTCACCCACCCAGTAGATCAGCCTCAGGTTCAGTGAGAAACACTGTCTCAAAAAATAAAGAAGGAGGCCATCAAGGCGGTGCATGCCTTTCATGCCAGCATTTGGGAAATGGAGGCAGATGGATATCTGTGAGTTGAGGCCAACCTGGTCTACATACTGAGTTCCAGGACAGCCAATACTATGTGGAAACCCTGACTTAAACATTAATTAATTGTCGGGCATTGGTGGTGCACACCTTTAATCCCAGCACTCGGGAGGCAGAGGCAAGCAGATCTCTGTGAGTTTGAGGCCAGCCTGGTCTCCAGAGCGAGTGCCAGGACAGGCTCCAAAGCTACACAGAGAAACCCTGTCTCAAAAATCAAAAAAAAATAATTAATATTAAAGATGGAGAGCAATGAAGGACCTATGTGAACCCCAGGTGTCCACACACAAATATACATATATGTATGCATTCACAGTGGTATGTTTAACAAATCCCAGTTAGTAGGAAGGTTAACGGAAACCCATCACTGGTGATGCAGTAAGTCCACCAGACTAAATTAATAAATCCAGGTTTAATCTGAGCAAAGCATTCCTGGTGGCCCCAGGGGAACAGAAAACCAGGAACTACCTGGTGAATCCAGAGGTGGGGGGCTTTTAATGCCCCACCATGGAGCGCCAACAGCCTTTTTAGGGGCAGAGTCTGAACTGAGATGACTCCAAGGGAGGGCCTGCTCTTGGCACCTTGAGGGCAGGGTTTGGAACTCAGCTATCAAACACACAGGTGCACACCACACAGCTAAGTGACAAGGAATGAGGGCGACCTTCTTGACACCATCTCAAAGGTCTACCTGTCCCTCCAGCCCCAGCTCCAGACACCCCCAGCACAAACACAAACCACAAGCAGAACTGAATGGAGTTTTATTTTAAAGTCAAAGGCACAGCCTAAAAGGGCTGAGGCAGTGACTGTGGATGCCAAGCCCAGACCCCCAAGGCTCCACCCGCAGCCAGAAGCAGCTGTGCCCATGAGGAATGGGTGAGTGAGAAAGGGGCTTCCCTGTAGGGAGCACCTACCTCCTTCCTTAGCCCCACTAGGGGAGAAGCCAGCTGACATAAAAGTGATGTATCTCAGTAATGCTCTAGAGGTTCCCCAGGGTTTCTCTCTCATTCCCAACACAGGTCTTTGGTGGACATAATTGCACACGGTCCATAAAGTGACAACATATTGACGGGTGTCCCATCCCGGGGGCTCCTGATTTGTTCCCCATGGCAACTGCGTGCTTAAGAATGGCAGAGGATGCCCTTGCTTAGTGGAGTAGGCCCTGGGAGGGGCCTTCTCTCCTGATGAGGCAGTGTGGGGGGTGGGGGTGGGCAAACCCCACTCTGCTCACAACACTTGCTTCCCTGTGTCCCTAACTCTTATCTGGTAAGACATTTTTTTAAAAATCTCTGCTTATAAAAATACTTCTGCTCTGTCTGGGACTGGGTGGGGAGGGCAGGGCAATTCCTGGGGATCAGAGTGGGAGCCACTGGCATAAGTCTGGTGGCAGCACCGGGCTCGCGGGTCACAGCTCCTAAGGAGAAGGGGGTCACAGTGGCGGGAGCTAGGAGGGGGACAAGGGGCCGTTGGCTCTGGGGGGTGCCCCCTTGGTGGCAGAGGCTGATAGGCGACCGGAGGAGGCAGGCACTGGGGAGCCGCGGCGGGAGGCGGCTGCGCTCCTGAGCTTCTGCTTGCGCCTCTTGGCCAGAGGCGCATTCTCCACGCTTTTCAGAAAGAAGCCCTCGCGTTTGCCTCGGTTGAACGCCTGGGAAAGGAGGATGAGTGTCCCCACCTGGCCTGATTTTGTTTGCTGATTCTCCCTTGGAACCTCAGAGCGCATCCCATAATGCCCAGATCTACAGGCCCCAGGCCTCCATCCTCCAGAGGTCAGGACCCCCTCCCTACCTATCAAAGGCCGGGATCCGCCCACCAGCGGCCCTCCCCTTACCATGAAAGTGGCGTTGAGCCCAGAGCGCACAGCTGGCCCAGAGGACTCCAGCACATCGGGCGTCCGAAGCGGAGGAGAAGAGCGCGCGCTGCCATCCTGAAGCCACGAGCTGCTTCGCAGCCCCTCCAGCTTCAGTCGCTTGGCGGGGTCCACTGTCAGGCACCCTAGTGGCAGAACAGGGACATGCTAGAAAGGGCGACTCCCTCAGTTCCCGCACCCGTTCCTTAACCAGGACGTCTGATCGAGGACTCGCTTGCCTCACACAAATACCCTCCACAAACATGCCCAAGCGTTCCAGCTCCGCACCTCGGACCAGTTCCTTGGCTTCCTCCGACACACCCTGCCAGGCTTCCCCGTCCAGTGAGAAGCGCCCTTCCCGGATCTTGCACATGATCTCAGCTGCCTGGCTTTGCCCGCCCTGGCCTGAAGACCCTTGGAAGGGAACCTGCCCCGACAGCATCATATACTAGGAGGAGATGAAGAAGAGAGACGGGTCCAGGATGCAAAACGGAGGCTGCATCCTCAACCCACCAAGCACCAATGCCCTCTCCACTCCAGGGACCCAAGAGTGATGGGCCCTCGATCCCACCATCACAGACACCTTGCTTTGCATCATGGCCTCAAAGACACTGCTACCCCCACTAACACACCTGATAACCCCAGGTTCCTCCGAGAACCTTACCAAAATGACACCCAGGCTCCAAAGATCGCAGGACTCATCGTAGCCCTGCTGTGCCAGCAGCTCGGGGGCTGCGTACTGCAGCGTGAAGCAAGGAGTCTGCATGGGCCCCGCCGGGCTCTGCGGCCGCAGTCGCGCGAACCCAAAGTCGATGATCTTCACCGGAGCTCCCGGAGTGTCATCCGCGTACAAGATGTTCTACAGAAGGGAGGCGGGCGACAGTCAGTGGCAGCCCCGGGCCGGGGGCCGGGAGGCCCGCCCCCCCCCCCGGGCCCCGCGCCCCCCCCCCGGCCGGCGGCT